TTATCTTGATTAATGGACTTACAGAAAGTTGATGAAAGGTAATACAAATGTCAAATGCGATCTTACTTGTTTTCCGTATTCCGTGCAATATGGTTTTGAACGTTCAATAACATGCAGGATATGATATCATCAAAACAAAATTTAAACGATGGCATGAAATCATGTCAAAACAAATTTACAAATCAGCAAAAAAAAGCAAAAAAAAACGTCTCTTCAATTCAATTTAGACATTGAAATATTTATTAATATATCCGATAGATGAAAATGAAACAACAAATTCATGACATGGCAAATAGCCATCAGATAAAACCAACATAGCTTTCATTGTTGTTTTTTTGTCTTGTCATGTGTTTGAAATTCCTTTGAAGGTCTTCCGCATTAAGTCCTTAAAACGTACAGGGCAATGAAATTAAAACTTAGCTTCTATTCAAATGGTCCAAGTTGTTGAAAACTGCTACATTAGTCTTTGAAGGGAAATGCCTGCACCAAGTAAGGAATATGACAGTTGTTTTCCATTCGATTGACGTGTTTGAGATTTTGATTTTGCCATTTGATAAGGGACTTTTCGTTTTTATTTTTTCTTGGAGTTCTATAAATTTATCATTTTACTTTTCACTGATATACAATATACACTAATGTTTTCCCAAACTTTACATCTGCAACTGGCCAACAAATTAAAGGTCAATTGATATTTTTACACCATCCACAGGCCTTCAATTAAGGCAACAGTAGTTAACTATGTTCAAATCTCGCAAATTGACAAAGAAGAAACAAATAAAGGCAACAAACACAAAAGAAGGGAATCGCCAGAAAAACTTGAGGATCTAGACATTTTTTTCTTGTGTTGCTCACATGCATTTTCAACAATGGCCACTTTTTAGTAAAAATCATCATTAAAGGGGAATAACTCTACTAATGATTAACTGTTATTTTCAGTCATGTTGACGTATTTGTAGATCTTATCCTACTGATCATTTATCTTTTTAAAGTGTCTATTTATCCAATATAGATTCCAAGATAATAGGCAAAGAATGCAAAAATAAAGGTAAATAATCATTAAAGATACTAAATCCAATCACGAGTCGACTTAAGATTTCGGCCATTTAACTTATGTGTAGATATTGTAATTCTAATCATTTTTGCTATTTAAGGTTTCTATCTATCTATTATAGTTTTCAAGATTATAGGAAAAAATACACCAGAAAAATTGGGAAAAATCGTCTCTTAGGGGAAATAACCTTAATAAGGTGTCGACTGACGATTTTGATTATTTCAACTTATTTGAAGATCTTGTATTGTTGAAAATTTTTGTATGTTTATCTATGATAATTTTTGTGATAATAGGCAAAAATGTAAACGACGACAACGGACGAAAAACGACAGACTGCAAGTTATAGAAAAAAATACACGTTCATGTGACTACAACCAAACGACACATATAACTATCATACATCTAGTTATTAACATATTGTTGTTCGTGATACACAAATGTCTATAAAATGTCTCATTACCAATAGTGTAAAAGGCTTAAATACAAGTTATTAATAAATGTAACAAAGACTTCAAAGGATCTGCCATTTACATATATTTCTCCAAATGAAAACCCCTTACAAGTTCACTGAATGGTGACACATAATATAGTTTGAAATAACAATAAGTGAACTAACAAATGATACACATATAATTCAAATGTACTTACGACAAGAAACACTTGCGTCTTCACCATGACCACAATTATGTCTGTTCCATCTTCCTGGTGAACACTGAGATATGTCGCTTTCATATCCATTGCAGTTTAAGTCATCCAACATAATTGATCCATGCCCTTCACCAAACGCAGCATTTCTATATGCTGTTACGCTTCTAAAAGGATTTAACTAATGTAAAATATTCTCGTAATTCTAATTGGTCGGGATTGACCGAATATTCCGTTCAATTTAGAACATCACGAATTTACAAATGCACTACGCCAAGACCTATTCTAAGATTTTTACATCGGTTAACTACTTGTGTTTATCAATTTTGTTCAGTACTATCAAAAACAGATATATAGAACATTATCAGTTGGTGTTCCTATATAAATACAACAATCCAGGAATAAGCTTGTCTTTAATTTCTATAAAAGGAGAATGTTGTAAAATGTATCTTATTTTTATTCTTTTTATTATCACCCTATTAACATAAACCGAACAAGTAGTTTAAATCAACATTTAAACGTCATTTAAAACAGCTATTGTTTAAACATTGTGAGTACTAAGCATTTCAAACATCATGTACATACCAGTCATAGCTAAACATTTAAAAAGAAGAAGATGTGATAATATAGCAAATGAGACAAATATTCTTCAGTGAGCAAATGACGAAGATGTAAGCAACTGAAGGTCACCAATCGGCCTTCAAAAATTAGTTAATCCATACCGTATACGTATACTAGTAGTTAGTTAAAAAGGCTCATATATGAATGAATGTAAAATAACCAACGGCTTGTGTAAATCCTTCATTGACATCGTCATTTAGAAAAAAAGCCCTTAACTAATATGTTACAATGCATGATCAATACGACGGATTACTTTTCTTTAGAATGTAATGTTGTGACACCGAGGCATACGACATCAATCCATGCTATTTGAAGTGTTCATGAAGTGCCATGTTGCGCTGTACATCCATAAAATTGAGAATGGAAATGGGGAATGTGTCAAAGAGACAACAACCCGACCAAACAGAAGAAACCAGCCGACAGCCACCATTGGGTCTTCAACACAGCGAGAAAATCCCGCACCCGGAGGTGGGCTTCAGTTGGCCTCTAAACAAAATGTGTACTAGTTCAATGAAAATGGACGTCACACTAAACTCCAAAACATATAAATGAACTAAAATTAAAAAACATACAAGACTAACAAAGGCCAGAGTCTCCTGACTTGGGACAGGCGCAAAACTGCGGCGGGGTTAAACATGTTTTGTGAGATCTCCACCCTCCCCTATACCTCTAGCCAATGAAGAATAAACAAACACACAGTAATACGCACAGTAAAACCCAGTTTAGTAGAAGTCCGAGTCCGATGTCAGAAAAGGTAACTTAAGAAACTAAGCAAAATGACAATGATACATAAATTAACTAGGGACTACTAACAGTTACTGATATGCCAGCTCCAGACTTCGATTAAACTGATTGAAAGATTTTGTCTTCATCATATGAAAATTAAGCACAATCCATCCCGTTAGGGGTTTAGAATCATTCCATCATAAAATATATGAGAAGAACATAACCCATGAACATGAATATATATGTAGGACTATCTACGAATGTTCGATTATTCAACGAAGATTTATTTAACAGTTAGTATATAAATTTAAATTCGTTATTGTCTATGAATGTCCTAAGTTAAAGTTGCAAACTAAATGAGAAATCACCATCTTTGATTTTCTGCATGTAAACATAATTCTGCGTTAATATTTTATCTTTACTTGGTTCCTCTCATGACTTACTCGTTTACCGTAATTTCATTATACGGAAAGTCCGAGGCTGTATGTGGACCCGTATGTATTTAGAGAATGCAACACTTCACCGTACATACAAACATAACCTTTTGTTGATTTCGGAAAACTAATCCGGTAAAGAAGGTTAACTTTCCCCACTCCCCGTTTCCCATTGTATTAAATGATTATAAGTCCCTAATTAACTTAACAAATTTGAAAAATTTCTTCTAACAAACAGATTGACTTTTACATCAACATCAAAAGATTTGAAAATATATTTTATGTAATCCATCGCACTTCAGCGTTACCATCGGCGAAGCTATCGACAAAATAGCGTCATCATCGTACTTCGGCTTATCAAAACGCACTTTAGCGTCAAACCATTGCGCATCAGCGTAACCATCGCGGTTTGGAGAACCCTCGCGGTTCAGAGTCCTGTATATATATATATATATATATATATATATATATATATATTGGCGTTTGTTGATGTGGTTGTTAAGTGTTTCTCGTTTCTCGTTTTTTACATAGATTAGACCGTTGGTTTTCCTGTTTGAATTGTTTTACACTAGTCATTTTGGGGCAGTTTATAGCTTGCTGTTCGGTGTGAGCCAAGGCTCCGTGTTGAAGGCCGTACTTTGACCTATTATTGTTTACGTTTTACACATTAGGACTTGGATGGAGAGTTGTCTCATTGGCGCTCATACCACATCTTCTTATATCTATATCGAGCGTAAATCATTAACTTAAGTGTGTTACATTATTTTAATGTGGTTGCATTATTTTTATCGTAATATATTTTCGTGGTTCAACACAATGTTGATATTCGGATAAAATTTGTGTGCGTTGTTTTGTCATCCATGCAAATGAAAACTTGCATTTTGTGATTCATCTAAGACCACAAAAAAGTACAATCACACAAATAATTATGAATCCCTGGTAATGAATGTTCAAAATAATTATATTTAAAGATGAATGGGTTTGTTTTTCAATCCAGTAAGGACGTATATGATTTTCTTAAAATATATATAATGTAATGTGTAAAAACAGTACTACATTGATTTTGTAAACGCATAATAATGGCGGAAAGGCATGCTACTGCCAAACTAGAGATTTTAACTCCTTCAGACAATGTTGGCCGTTCTATTTAGGCCATTTTGGTTTTATAATGCTCTGAAACGTTTTTATATCTGGCTTTTTAAAACTTTTGCTCTCGAGTGAACAACCGATGGTTATTTTAAAGACTTGTGTTGTATGAACGTTAATAGTAGCATACAGTTTATTATATACCAAAAAAAAAAAACATTCAAAATTTGCTAAGTATGAAGCATGTTTCTAATTTAACTACCATCAGAACTATGAGATCAAATATTGTCTTCAAAATGATGAGAAATCTTATCTAAAACATCATACTAAAGACGGGTTCCAACAAATCAGTCATACTCGACTGTTTCAATGGAGTTTGAACCTGAGTTTTCTATTGAAGTAACATGATTTTAACTTTCATGAGATGCTAGAGTGAATTACCCATATCTGTTGTACCCCAACATTGCACATATTACTTTAGCTTCGTTTGTGTCAAAGTCGTCATCACAAATAGTTCCCCAGGCTCCATTATGATATATCTCAACACGTCCTTCCCAAAAATAATTACCACCAACTAGCCTAACATCTGAAAAATTAATATAATAGTTATATAATGTACGATATCTTCTTTTTTTTAAATACGAAATTAATTATTATACAAGGGAATAAAAAAAAAATAAAAAAATTCTTGTGTTTATTTGAATGTAAAATCACTTGGCTTCAGTAAAGACAAATAAAAAAATAGATATTTTATGGAGTTTTCTTTTTCATGCATGATGACAATTGTTATATTGAGGCATTTGTTGTTGAACACGCTTAAATCAATTTTTAAGCCACTTTCTAAACGCTAGATTTAACATTTGATATTTTAGTAAAAACTTACTCGTATACGAAACACTAGTTTCTCCTGAAAAAAATATAACATAACGTTTGTAGATACATATATTTGTTATAAATTTAGAACTTAAAGATTTGATTGCGAAAAATATGACAACGTTTATATAGATTTTAGTGCTCTATTTGGGGCAACTTTTCAACGTTTGTGTTGGGTTTGGGGTTTTTTTTGGAACAGTCTTGTTACAGCATTTGTTTTTTTAAATCTGTTTCAGTTTTTCACTTGGTCATGAACTTAATTTAAAGACTTTAAATGTACGTACAATATCTATAAATCTGCTTTGTATAATGCCTAGAGTATGACTGGGTATCTCGTTCCACGTAAGCCTTTACACAAGTAGCTTTTTTCAAAAAGCACCCATAAAGCACAAACTGCTTACCCTTCATACTACTTTGAATCGAGTTTTTAGAGAAGATAATATTGTTTAATCTCATCTTTTGATGATGCGATTTTCCTTCTCCGACTCGTGATCACCACTGACATACTTTGGATGTCATATCATCAATTCATTAACACAGTTTTACATAAATATTCACCTAAATTTATTAGGCTATTCAAGAATAATATATTTTCTTCTTTTAAAGGACAATTTAAAATCTTAAAATAAAAACAAATGTCAACTTATAACGAAATGCATACTTGAATAGAGAGGCTTTGTAACTGACTCCTCGGTGGTAAACGAGTCTGAAATAAAAAAAAAAGTAAAATAGCAAAGATACCGAACTCCAGGAAAATTCAAAACGGAAAGTCCTTTATCAAATGGCAAAATTAAAAGCTCAAACACATCAAACGAATGGAAAACAACTGTCATATTCCTGACTTAGTACTGACATTTCCTTATTTTGAAAATGGTAGATTAAACCTGGAATGGAGAGAAGACACAGACATCAAATGCGTACTAAACTGGATGTCGATATATTTAGATTATTTTCCCTTCAACTTTATCAGGAACCGGACACTCGCAATATGATAAAGTCTTGGAAGCCATATATGTTTAATAACTTATTAACTAATTGTTTGCATTCCAGTTTGCAACAAACGTCCAAGAATACACCTGATTTATTGTTATTAATCCAATTGTGAGAACAGGGATATGAATTTCTTATACAAAAATTCAATTTAAAAGAATAGATCATCTTAAACATATTTATTTAAGCATCAAAGCGAAAACATGTGCTATGTCCAAACATGTTCTATATGATATGGATTATAATCATCAACTATCGATTATGTATCTCGACTTTAAGGTAAACTATATTGCATCAACTAATAACCTTCATTTACTGATATAAAAAAGTTTTGAATTATATTACCCTGTACAATGCTGTGTATGGAAATTAATTTATATTTCTAGATGATAACATATTCTTTGTCATAATAATAATAAAAAAAGAAACACATGTGAGTAACATTAAATTAAATGCGAACACGATGGATTATTACAGATAACACGATTTTAATCACCAAGGAAATTAGCGCTTTATTACAAATGTAATGTAACCATTTTTGAATAGAGAGACTTAAAGGGAGACGAAAGATACCATAAGGGCATTCAAACTCATACGTAGAAAATAAACTGACAAAGTCATGGCAAAAAAGGAAAAAGACCAAAAGACAAACAACGGTAACTCAAAACGCATAACTTTCAGAACTATTCTTAACATACTGAAAAAGTTACATTTAATATACTATTACGATTAATGCATCAGTACTTACCGAAGTTCAAATCTCATAAAACGAATACAAAATAAGATAGCAAACAAACATTGAACAATTTGCATCAAATCCAAAGGGGGCGAAACCGAATATGTCGACAGGGTAACTGTATCCTGTTATACATGCATTATCCGCCATGCAAATCCACAATTGATTTTCATTACTAATAGAAATTATGCAATTTGAGTTGAAGGTGCATCATTTCATCATGAAGCCAATCTTCAAAATACTCCCACATGATTTAATAATTCATGAAACAACAGTACAATAATATATTTAATCACTTTACATACCACATTCAATATATAACTTGTAAGTGCAGTAATTATTGTTTCCGAAGTTGCGTCCAGTACAATCGTCTACGCCGTTGCTATAGTAATACCCAGGACAATGAAAATCTGTAATTATAGCTGGTCGACTCTCATAGTATTTGGATATGCTGAATGCTCTACAATAATGAAGGATGAAGTATTTTAGTTTTGACGAAACTTGACGCCGAAATCTCACATGAGACCGAAAAAATACAAGTAGAATGACACATATTTAGAAATTCTGCATGCTTCACATATTTGTTAATTGCTATTGATTAATTTTTGCTCTTGCATATCAACGTATCTAATTTTCATCAGGGTTGTCTGGAAAATCTTATTAACCCATTTCTCTGACGTCAGTCTATTGTTCTGGCTGTAGATTATTTTTCAAGAATCCACTGACCATAGTATTAACTTAAGAGAACTTATATTATAACTTTAACCTTTTAACTTACGATCTTTTATCCTCTCAAAAACGAGTGGCATGTGTAGGATTCGAACCCGCGCGTATTTTCTTCGTATCAATACAGTCTTCAGTCTATGCATGATACCACTAGACCACGATGGCTGACATCAATCAATATATAAATAGTACTCTTAAAGCGCTTACTTGTCAATACATGTCATTTAACTGTATTTCTGTCTCATTGATAATTCGCTTTTGTAATCTAATGAAATATATATATCTTGGTTTGTTCATGTTTATTGAATTTGTTTTATTTTGGGTGTTATTTTTTTTTTTTAAGAAACGGGTTAAAACTACTTCTTTGACAATAAAAACAGAACAAAATCATTGCCATTATATGAAAATGAAATATATGATACTTCTACATGTTCTAGGATTAAAACAATATTTTGGTCCAGAAAAAAAAATTACAATGAAAAAAATTCATTCCGCGTACAAGGTTCGAACTTTGCACTGTTAATATCACCGTTATGACATTCGTTATCAACGACTAGACGATCACGGCTATGCACATCTTGATGGTAAGTTTATGACATCAACATAATTATTCATTGTACATCCGTAGCAAGAGCAATTCTGATGTGGATTCAGAATGCGTACCACAGAAAAAACTATTTTACTGACCGGTGAACGATATTACCAAGTGTAATAACGCTAAAATAATCTTAACTTAAATGAAACGGAAACAGTTTAAACAAAATTTAAGGTAGATGGGGTGTCTAAATTATAATCCATAGAATTTTTTAATAATTTGCCAAAATGTAGTTTATATCATGCTTTTTTGGAAAAAATAATAAAAAGAATGGGTCACGGGGCTTATTTTCACGCTACAGGTTGTGCAAAATTGACAGATTTTGTATCTAGATAATGCATGGAAAACGCAATTTTCTGCCATAAAACGAAAACTGCACCATAGAATTTTGAGATAAAACATGAGAAGATAGCTCTAATATTATACTTTCAGATAAGAAAAAGAAAAAATGGGGTCACCGGGCCCGTTTTCTTGCTACATAATAAAATATATAAATTCCTAACACATTCTATTGTAAAAGTAACAATATTTGAATTATCTGCCCTTACATTTGAGTTGCCTCCCCTTATGTGGCAAAGTTAGAAAAAATTGAATCAAACAGAAGTATTCTGTTTTTTGTAAAATACAACCATAAATATAATTAAACATGTCATTTTCTATATTAAAATGTAAATTCTAACACATGAATTACCCACTACTCTCAAAATTTGCACATTTTATTAAAGGTCTAGACCGATTATTTTCTGGTATTTCAAAATCCAAAATGGAGGAAGACACCCTATCTACCTTAAATATAATTGTTCAATTTAAATCGTAAGCACATAATTTAAATACTTTAAACAGCAATATGAATTATGAAATGGCAGATTTATGGCATATACGCTAATAATATTTAATTGACTAGGAACGACATAATGGTGTTACGATTTCATTATACCAAGTCACGTTGCTAAATATTATGTATATAAATTTTGAAGATTCTAAATTTTGGTAATTAAAATTTTTTAACTTTTCAAAACAAGATAAATAAATTCTGTATATCAATATATGTCTTTTTGAATAAATTAAATATACCAAAATCTATTTAATTTAAATAATTTGTAATGATTAAAGATTAAATGAAATATGTATATACAAAAATAAAATCTGGTATTAAAAAGGGGAGCTAACACCCCCTTTAAGTTATATTAAACTTATGTTAACTTGTCAAATGTCTAAATATAGATGCGAACCGTGTGGATATATTCATTTCCAGCTATTATAGAATAAAAAAGACAAAATACCAAACTTTTTTTATGAAATATTGTTGATTCATTGTCAAAACGTAAAACAGACAGTCGTTTTACTAGAAATGGGTTAAGCTAGAGAATTGATAAGAAGTAGTGGATTCGGAAACGATAATCAACTTGCGACTAAAGTCGCTCGTTGATTATCGTTTACGAATCCACTACTTCTTATCAATTCTCTACTACATAATTCCTAAAATTGGATTTATAATTAACATTACTTAGTAAATCATTCAAACAGTATATTTACATACGATGAGTATCCAAGAGAGCGACAAACTGAGTTGAACTGGTATGCATGTTGATTATAGTTGTGACATACATAGCCCCATTGTCCATTATAGTAAATCTGTAGAAATCCTTGACTATCGTTTGTTAGACGGAATGATAAATGACCTGTTGATCAAATAAAGCAGTATTTTATTCAAAGAAGTTAAAGTATGATATACAATCATGCAGTTTTTATAACAAAATATAAGTAACTCAACAACAACAAAATATTACCAATGAAATATATGTAACCATGTGCCTATAGGCGGCTATAATTTTGATACGGATGTACTCTAAAATAAAGCCTAAAAATTAAAATTAAAAACCTAAACCTGTTATTAGATTTAATTGATCGAATGATTAATGCTTAACCTCGCATCAGCGCAAAAGGCTTTATCGCTATGAGCATTTGATTCGAATGTCAGAAGAAATTGTGATCATCGTTGATTAATATTAATTTATCTAATATCAATTTTGTGTCCGATAGTTTCTGTACCAGATGCTCATATGTATCATCAATATGCGACAGGTTTGTTCTCAACTGTTTATTGGTTAATACTAAGTTACGACGTTATCTTTCTGTTACGTTCTCTGAGATTGCCATTATAATATCAATTAAAAAGGCAGCTATACATGATTAAATCACATTTACAAACAAATTAGTGTACCGTTAAAAGTGCCCATCAATATCGTTCTAAAAACGGAAACTGATTAACAACAGTATATACGTGTTTAGTCTGTTGATCATAATACTTTGTTTTCTTGGACTGTTGTCCGTCTTGTCATTTTTTCTTAAAAAAGAAAATTGGCGCTAGTTTTTTTTTTTATCTGATGAGTTAAACATCTTTTTAATAAACATTTTGCTGTTCTAAATCATACACAAGTATTTATGGTGTAACATAATGGTTGGAATTGTGACTTACAATTTACATACGTATCATAAAATGAAAAAAAAAAGTAAAGAATTTTATACCATGTCTTCCAAGTACGTCAGCAGTTGTAGCTCTGTCAAAGTATTGAACAGTTGTAACTTCTGTTCCTAAAATTATAACACAATTTAAAAAGGAGGTAATCAAAATAGTGTGTAAAATCAAATCAAATCAGTTCAACATCAAAGTTTCTATACATGAGTGTTTAATATACAAAATAGATCCCTTGCATTAGTATAAAATGGCAAGGGCAAAATTGAACTTCGAAATTTTGTCTAAATTAAGCAAATGAGTTGTTTGAACCTATCATCCAATTTTATATTTAGTTACAATGGGTACAAAAAATTTATAAAATACATGTAAAATAAAACCCAAGTTGATCTGCTCAATGGGCCTTTTTTTATGTACATGGTTGTGTACATGATAATCCCTTTGAGATTCTAGCTCTTCTACATGTTATGTTAATTCTGTTAAACATTAAACCAGTCCTATAAAAACTCCTTCGTCTCAAATATTTCAAATTAAAGGAGAAATGTTCTTTATTTTGACAATGGGTTCATCTGGAATCTAAAGCTTTTCTATCAAAATGTTACAAAACCCGTTAACAAGCACTATTAGTTAAGCAAAATTATTGTGTGAATGCTTTATTTTCATTTTAGTTATGGTGATGAAAAATTATCAACGTTGACATAGTTTAATGTTAAAATTTAAGACTGTATCAAGCAAAAGTACACAAATAGAATTGAGAAACATAGGCCAAAAAAATAAAGAATAGAGAATAATTGGGTGCTAAAATATTACGAATAGAGATTAATGGGCAAAATGTATATAGAATACAGAAAAATGGTTAAAAAATAAAGAATACAGAATTGAAGAACCTCCAATCCAATTTACATGTAACAACTTTGTTATATAAAACATTAAACTAGCGGATTTTATAGAAACAGTTTTCATTCAAAAAGATTTTGTAGTAACGTGCACGCGGGGTAATTGTTGACATGACGTTAATACTATGATTGTTGTGATTACAATATTTAATGAATGAAAGAGAGCGATAAATCATCATTTGCTCACTACTGGACTGCAATAAACGTATTTAAACTTTTGAATATTAGCTTATATTGTCTCCGAATGACCTTAATTCTGTCTCCGAATAACCCTCTGACGTCACGCAACAATTACATTTCAATTATGACGTCAACTTTTTAAAATTGTGATGTTAAATTGTACGGGAACTAGAGTGATTCTTAGTAATGTCGGTAAATTGGCATACAAGTTTAAATACGTCTATAACATGTATAAGATGTAATATACTTACTACCGCCTGATTTAGGATAACCTGTAATTAGACAAACATTTTTATAAGATATATGTTATTTTAGTTACAAATGAAATCAAAGTATGCTTATTGTTTCATTGGACAGTTTTAAATGAAATAACTTCAGCAATTTGAAAAACGTTGAAAACTAGTTAAGAATGATCTAAATATACACATGCAAAAATTGGTTTTTCTTTAAGAACTGCGGAACGCCTGTCGAGCGTACAAAATTTTAATACTGGTATCTGTGATGAGTTTAATTTCACCTTTATATTTAATCTTTGATGCGATTTATATTGAAGTTGCAAGAGACATTGATATACAAAAACAATAATTGTATATAGCACGATCAATGAAGAGTAAAATAACAAAAATACCGCACCTCAAGGAAAATTGAAAACAGAAAGTCCCTTTACAAATGGCAAAATCAAAAGTTCAAACACATCACACGAATGGAACAAAACTGTCATGCCCCTGACTTGTTACAGGCATTTCCTCTCACTTGTATGACAGTCACATAAAGTTCCATTATATTGACAACAATATGTGAGCAAAACAAACAGACATAATAGGTAAAAATGTCAAAAATTGGGGTACAGCAGTCAAATGATGGAAGATTTCTCTAGTCCTTTTAATGTAAATCATCTTTCTAAAGAAAAATATAAACCGGAGGAGTAGAGTATCGGTGCACTCATTATTACGAACAATAATTCTGTGTATATTGCCAATCAAATCTGGATCATATCAAATATAAATCAAACAAAGTGTAAGCGTCATTTAGAAAGCTTCAATCGATACAAAAAAGCAAGAGGTAAGCATGCAAAAAAGAATGCATATATAGGAGATATTTAGCTTGAAATATCCCCGAGTCCAGAAATGAAGTAAATAAATTGAACAATTAAATGAAAGATCTGCCTGCACAACTAACGATCCCTCCGACTATTATTTACGCATGAAGATATGATAAAAAATGTGCACTAGCGAGGTTTATTACTTTGTATATGTACATTAATAATAATGCAGTTAAATTTGAGTATGAGATCTCAACCCCGTCCCTTTTAATCTTGATCAATGGACTTACAGAATGTTGATAAAAGGAAATACAAATGTCAAATGAGATATTACTTGCTTTCCGTATTCCATGCAATTCGGTTTTGAACGTTTAATAACATGCAGGATATGATATCATCAAAACAAAATAAAACGAAGGCATGAAATCATGTTAACACAAATATACAAATCAGCAGACAAAAAAAAGCAAAAAAAAAAAAAGACAGTCACTTTAATTCATTTTAGATATAAAAAAGGATCTACTGATTTTTTAATATATCCGATAGATGAAAATGAAACAAAAAAATTGATTTCATTGTTGTTTTTTTCTTGTCATTTGTTTGAAATTCTTTTGAAGGTCTTCCGCATTAAGCTTATGTCCTTAAAACTTACAGGTCAATTAAATCGAAAATTAGCTTCTATTTAAATGGTCCAAGTTGTTGCAAACTTCAACATTAGTTTTTGAAGGGACATCTCTGATATACAATATACACCGATGATGTCTTTCCAAACTTTCCATCTACAACTGGGCAACAAAGGTCAATTGATTTTGTTACGCCATCCACAGACCATCAATTACGGCAGTAGTTAACTATGTTCAAATCACGCAAATTGACAAAGAAGACACAAATCAAAGCAACAAATAAAAAAGGAGGGAATGGCATGAACTAACAAGAGAATCTAGAGAGCCTGTGTCGCTCACCTACATCTTCAACAATGTCCACTTTTTAGTAAAACACATCATTAAAGGGGAATAATTCTATTAAAAATTAACTGACAATTTCATTCATGTTGATGTATTTGTAGATCTTATCATGCTGATCATTTTCCCCTTTAAAATTTTTATTTATCTTTATTAATTTTCAAGATAATAGAAAAAAAAAATGCCAAGAAAATGGTGAATTATCATTAAAAGGCAATAACTCCAATCACAAGTCGACTTACGATTTGGGCCATTTAACTTATTTGTAGATCATGTCATGCTGATAATTTTTGCTATTATAGGTTTCTATCTATCTATTATTGTTTTCAAGATAATAGTCAAAAACGCAAAAATTGAGAAAAATCGTCATTAACGGACTATAACTTCAATATGGTGTCGACTGACGATTTTGATCATTTCAACTTGTTTGAAGATTTTGCATTGCTGATAATATTTGTCTATAAAAATGTCTCATTACCAATAGTGTAAAAGGCTTAAAAAACAAGTTAAGAAATTACAGAAGTGAACGACTAACAAGTTCACTGACAAGTGACAAATGAATTTTTGACAAGGTTGAAAATGATCAATCAGTGGACAAGCAAAAGGTGCACGTCTAATTTAAATGTACTTACGACAAGAAACACTAGCATCTTCACCATGACCACAATTATGTCTGTTCCACCCATTTGATGAACACTGCGATATGTCGCTTTCATATCCATTGCAGTTTAAGTCATCCAACATAATTGATCCATACCCTCCACCAAATGCAGCATTTCCATATGCTGTCACGCTTCTAATTTTAATGTAAAATATTCTGATATTTCTAATTGGTGGTTATTTGATTGAATATTGCTACTCAATTCAGAACATCACGAAATTACAAAGGCAATACGCAATGACCAGTGCTTAGATTTTTAAATCAGTAAACTACTTGTGTTTATCTTTTTTTCATAAGCGTCAAAACCTTTACTCAACGAACAAATAAAACATTATCAGTTGATGTTCCTAAATAAATACAGCCATCTAGGAATAAACTCGTCTTTAATGTCTATATGAGGAGAATGTTGCGAAGTGTATTTCCTTTTTATTATTACCTTGTTTCTAGAAACCTAACAAGTAGTATAAATCAAAATTAAACGTCCTTAAAAACAGCTATTGTTTAAATATTGTGAGTAATAAACATTTCAGATATCATGGACAGACTTTAAATGACTTGTTATAGCTATACATATAAAAATAGGAAGATGTGGTATGATAGCAAATGAGATAACATTTCACCAGAGAACAAATGACGAAGATGTAAGCAACTGAAGGTCACCGTTCGACCTTCAAACATTAGCAAAACTCATACCGTGTAGTCAGTTAAAAAGGCTCCGATATAAATAAAAGTAATTAACTAACGACCTGAGCAAATCAGTCATTGACATCACCAATTAGAACAAAGCCCTTATATAATATGTTACAATGTATAAGCAATATGACGGATGACTTTTCTTTAGAATGTACTTTCTATGTACCGAGGCATACGATTCCAATCCTTTTAATGGGGTTCATAGACAGCCATGTTGTACTATACAACCATTAATATAACTATATAGCGTAAATCATCACTTTAAGTGTTACGTTTTTTAAATGAGGATGCATTATATTTTTTTTATCGTAATTAATTTTCGGGGTTTAACACACGTTGATGTTTGGATTAAATTCGTTTTCGTTGTTTTGTTATCTGTTTACATCCATGCAGATGAAAACTTGCATTTTGGCGTTTACTTACGACCACGAAATTAAATCCATCCAATAAATAATTATGAATCAATCGTGATGAGAATGTTCAAAATAAATATATTAGGGGTTGTTTTTTTTTTAATTCCAGTACGGAAATATATGATTTCCTTGATATGTAAATGTCGTGTACCAGTTGCAATTTTGTACATATTGTAACATATATATAAATATTGTGTATGTTATAACTTGTACAATGCAAAAATACAAGTATTAACATTTACAAAAATACCTCGTGCATGTTATAACATATACATAAAAACAGACCTATGAGATCAAATATTGTCTGCAAAATGATTTTAAATCGTATTTAGAACATCATACCAAAACAAAAAGGGTTCCAAATAATAAGTTATACCCGACTGTATTAAATAGAGTTGGAACCTCAGTTTTCTATTGAAAAAGAGGGACGAAAGATACCAGAGGGACAGTCAAACTCATAGATCGAAAACAAACTGACAACGCCATGGCTAAAAATAAAAAGACAAACAGACAAGTAGTAGTACAGATGACACAACATAGAAAACTAAAGACTAAGCAACACGAACCCCACCAAAAACTGGGGGTGATCTCAGGTGCTCCGGAAGGGTAAGCAGATCCTGCTCCACATGTGGCACACGTCGTGTTACTTATGTTATTACAAATCCGGTAAATAGTCTAATTCGACAAGTCACATTCGTGAAAAGGGAAGAGTATTGTAGTTACGACATAAGGAACATATCCGATATCATCTGTGAAACGGTTATTCCATAACGGTCAACCAACTCTTGATGGCGTCCGTAAAATTTACGAAGGGATGATTTCAACTTCACCATTTGGAACTCTTCGCTTAATAGCTTCCTTGTGAGCAGCAATCCTCTATCAAGGAAATCATGATAGGAAACACAAGCCCGGGAATATCGTATCAATTGGGAGATATATACTCCGTATGCAAGCGCTGCTGGAATGTTGCTACATAGAAATGGAAATTTTACAATTGGGAAGCTGAAATCATCTCTTTTGTCGTAAAGTTTTGTTTTTAACCGACCCTCATTGTCAATTTCTAGATGTAAGTCAAGATATGAGACAGACTTAACTGTATCTGTAGTATCCTTTATCTCTACTTCGATGGGATAGATTCGTTCAACATAGTCACCAAATTTTGTATTATTTAGTGAGAGAACATCATCTATATAGCGGAACGTAGAGTTGAAGGATATTGCTCACTTCTTATCTTTCTTCCTAAGAAGTTCCTGTATGAAGTCAGCCTCATAATAATAAAGAAACAAGTCGGCAAGAAGAGGGGCACAATTGGTTCCCATTGGAATTCCGACAGTCTGTTGAAAAACACGTCCTCCAAACGTAACAAATATGTTGTCAATCAAGAAATCAAGCATCTTGATAATGTCTGTTTTAGAGAATTTTTTGTTGAAATAAGAGTGATTCTTTAAAAAGTAGGATTTATCCTTCCCCAAGACAAGATACTTGTATCTACGTTCGCCATTTTTTTTAATGAAACAAAGTAATACCAACTCTTTCAATTTGTCTTTAAGTTTGGAATGGGGAATACCTTTTTAAAGTGTAGAAAAGTCAAATGTTTTAATACTATTGCAAGATGAGAGAGTCTTAGATTGTATGTACTCTAAAAGATCTTTGGAATTTTTTAGTATCCACATCTGATTCACGCCACCTCTAGAATACGCAGTTTCACAATAACTTTGGAGCCCGGCTTGAAGTTATACTAATTCAAGCTTTTATGAGAAGCTGAACTGAATTACCCATATCTGTTGTATCCCAACATTGCACATATTACTTTAGCGTCGTTTGTGTCAAAGTTGTCATCACAAATAGTTCCCCAGGCTCCATTATGATATATCTCAACACGTCCTTCCCAATTATAATTACCACCAACTAGCCTAACATCTAAAATATCATTATAATTGTAATATAATGCATGAATTTTTTTTCTAAATACTAAATTAAGAGAATAAAAAAGAAGATTTATTTTTCTTGTGTTTGTTTGATTATAAAATCACCAAGCTTAAGTAAAACAAATAAGAAATAATTATTCTAATGAGTTTAGCATAATGCACATCATCAAATTTAAGCCATTTAGTGTTAAACACGGTTAAATGATTTTTTAAACACTTTCTGAACGCTAAATTACCATTGGATAGTAAAAACTTACTTGTATATGAAACACTAGTTTCTCCTGAAAACAAGCAATAACAACATTGAACAACGCTTGCAAATACATGTTTTTGTTATAAATTAATTTTTTTACGAAAATTATGAAAACTTTTATCATGTTTCTATAGATTTTAGTGCTCTATTTAAGGCATGTTTTCAAGGTTTGTTTTGTTTTTTTTTATTATTATTGAACAGTCTTGTTTTAGCATTTATCTTTTTAAATCACTTTCAGCTTTAACTTTAACACTTGGTTATGACTTGAATTTAAAGACTTCAAATGTGCCAATAGTTTATAAATAGAAAGAAACTTAAGGATTCAGTGGTTGTCGTTAGTTTCTGTGTATCAAATTTGTTTTTCGTTCATTATTTTGTACATCAATTAGGCCCTTGGTTTTCTAGTTAGAATTATTTTACATTTGTCATATCGTGGCCTTTTACAGCTGATTATACGTATGGGTTTTGCACACGTTTGAAGGCCGTACGATGACCCATAGTTGTTAATCTCTGTGTCATTTTGTCTCTATTGGAGAGTTGTCTCATCGCCAATCATACCAAATCTTATTTATATAATATCTATAAATCTTCTTTGTATAATGCATTGCGTATGACTGGGTAATACGTTTCACATTGGCCTCAACATAAGTAGCTTTTCATTTTGCACCCGTAAAGCACAAACTGCTGACCCTTCATGCTACATTGAATGATGTTTTTAGAGGAGATAATATTGATCGATCTCATCTTTTGATGTTGTGACTGTCCTTTCCCGACTCGTGATCCCGACTGACATACTTTATTGTTGGCCATTCGTTTGATGTGTTTGAGCTTTTGATTTTGCCATTTGATTAGGGACTTTCCGTTTGGAATTTTCCTCGGAGTTCATTTTTTTGTGATTTTACTTTTTAGATGCCATATTATCCATGTATTTCTACAGTTTGGCATATATTTTTACCACAATGTATTATACTATTCAAAAGTAATATATATACTCGTCTTTTAACATGGTTAAAGGACATTGCTTGAATAAAGACAAATATTTACTTTTAACAAAATACATACCTGAATAGGAAGGCTTTGTGACTGATTCCTCAGTGGTTAACCAGTCTAAAATAAAAGAGGAGAAGACACGGAAATATAATGCATACTAAACTAGATGTCAATATGTGTAGAATTGTTTTTGTTTTCTCTCAATTTTATCAAGATCCAAACTCTTAAAAACCAACTTAGTATTTGCATGCCAGTTTACGACAAACGCCAAAGCATGCACTCGGTTTAGTTTATTTAATCCAATTGTGATAACAGGGATAAAAGTATGCACTTTGATTTATAAATGAATTTAAAAGTATAGATCATCGTTATCATTCTAATTTATAATTTAAAAAAAAAAAAGAACCTGTGCTATGTCCAAACATGTGATATTTTAGTCTTAGATGCATGATTCTTTTATTAGTTGTTATCGGATTTGAACTATCTGTCAGTTACTTCGTTTACTCTCAGATCTGTATTTCGTCATGTTAGTGTCTTCTGTAATGTGGAGATATAAGTTATATGCCACGTCCGGTCTGTGTTTCTGTTCGATGTATTTCTGCTTTGTATCGATCTGATGAGTTAAGCCCTTTTCTTTGATTTTTTTGATAGTTTTGTCTTATGCTGTATTGTTACGCCACTATCCAAGTTAAGGGGAGGATTGGCGCCTTCAAATATGTCATTGGGTCTATGGTGAAGAGTTTTCTTATTTGGCAATTATACCACATCTTCTTATTTTATATCCTTATGATATTGTTTATAATCAGCAACTTTCAATTATGTATTTCGAATTCAAGGTTAACTATATAGCATCAACTAATTACCGTAGGTTTCACGAATAACTATTACTTACTGATATACAATACTTTTGTATTATATCACCCTGTATATGCAAATTACAATATATTTCTAGATGATAATACATCTGTCTAACAATTAAAAGAAACACATATGAGTAATATAATATTGTATGCAAACACGATGGAGTAATACAGATGACAAAATTCTAATCACCAAGGAAATTTGTGATGTACCCATTGTTTTCTTAAAGAGAGTCTTAAAACAACGTTTTAAGTACAGATTAAATTTGCATCTTTCAGAGCTATTCTGTTCTGAATGAAACACATTTAATATGTTATTTGGATTAAGGCAACGTGTTTTTATTTACCTGTACATCCCTGAAAACTCACGAATCAACAGTACATGATATATTTGTTTTCGTAACATACCGCATTCAATATATAACTTGTAAGTGCAGTAAGTGTTGCCTCCAAAGTTTCGCCCAGTACAATCGTCTACGCCATTGCTATAGTAATAATCAGGACAACGGAAATCTGTTACTATAGCTGGTCCACTCTCATAGGATCTATATATGCTATATGCTCTACAGTAATAGAGAATGAAGTAATTTAATTTGAAGTGACTTGACGCAGAAATTTCACATGAGACGGTAAAAAGGACAGAATTTTAGAACTTTCGCATGCCAAACATGTCTGATAATTGCTATTGATCAATACATCTAATTTTCATCAGGATTGTAATGAATTTAAATTTATGATTAATTTTGTTTATAAAGGAAATCATTAAAAATGTATAATCATTACATACGATGGGTATCCAAGAGAGCGACAAACTGAGTTGAACTGGTATGCATGTTGATTAGTGTAACTGTGACATACATAGCCCCATTGTCCATTATAATAAATCTGTAAAAATCCTTCACTATCGTTTGTTAGGCGGAATGATATATGACCTGTTGATCAAATAGATCAGTATTTTATTCAAAAGCAATAAAGCATGATACACACTAATGTAGTTTTTAATACAATATATAAGTGACGTAATAACAACTAAATATCACCAATGAAATAGATGTAAGTATGTGTTTGTGGGCTGCTTTAATTTTGATACGGATATACTTTAAAATAAAGCCTAAGAATCAAAAATTAAAAACTCAAACCTGTTATAAGATTTCATTGATCGAATGATTATAGCTTAAAGTCGCATCAGTGAAAAAAAGGCTATATCGCAACGAGTATTTGGTTCGAATATCAGAAGAAACTGTGATCTTTGTTGTTATATTTAATTTGTGTCCCATAGTTTCTATACCAGATAACAATTCGTATAATCAATTTGCGACAGGTTTGTTTTCAACTTTTAATTGGTCTTTCTATTACGTTCTATGAGATTGCCATTGATGTAGCATTGGAGTAATCAGCTTTACGTCATTTAATCAGATGAAAAAAGAAATTAGTATACCCTTAAAAGTTGCCATCAAAATCTTCCTACAAATGGAAAAAAATTAACAGCGATATTTCGTCAGTTGATTTCAACATTTGGTTTCTTTGGACTGTGTCTGTCTTGTCATTTTACAATGTTTTAACTTTAAAAATAAAATGGCGGGATTTTTTTTTATCTGATGAGTTTAATATTTGTTCGTCTTCTTTAATTAAAATTTAGCTATTCTAGATTATAAAAAATAGTCTTTATGGTGTAATATGATGAATGGATCTGTGACTCTTACAATTTTCATTATTATGTTAAGATGAAAAAAAGTCAAGACTTTCATACCATGTCTTCCAAGTACGTCAGCGGTTGTCGCCCTGTCATTGGAATGAACAGTTGTAACTTCTGTTCCTAAAATTGGAACACAATTTAAAACACAACAAATAATTACAAATAAGGTGAAAAAATCAAATCAAATCAGTTTAACACAGTTTCTATATACATTAGTGTTTGATATACTGAATGGATCCCTAGCAAAAGTTTAGAATGGCAAAGGCTTTTTTGATCCTCAAAATTTGTCGATATTAAGCAAATAAATTGTTTTAAAGTATCTCATAATTTTATTTTTAGTTACAATGGATACAAGAAATTTATAAAATACATGTACAATAAAGCTCTGTAGTTGGTCTACTCAAATGGTGTTTTTATTGTGTAAATGGTAGTGTACATGATATATTGTTTTGCAGATTCTAGCTCATAAACGTCATTCTGCTCTTAGGTTGGGTTGTTGTCACTTTGACATTATTCCCCGTTTCCATTCTCAATTCTATGATAATTCTGTGAAACAATTCTAAGATGCGGTCTGAGTGCCAATAAGACAACTCTCCATCCAAGTCACAGAATTAACATAGAATTGAGAAAAAATTAACAACGATATTTAGTCAGTTGATTTCAACATTTGGTTTCTTTGGACTGTGTCTGTCTTGTCATTTTAACTTTAAAAAAAAAAGTGGCGGGATTTTTTTTTATCTGATGAGTTTAATATCTGTTCGTCTTTCTTTAATTAAAATTTAGCTATCTAGTAAAAAGTAAACAATTTATAGTAAACATATCAGTACTCCTTCGTCTCAAATATTTCAAAATAAAAGAGAATTTTTCTTTAATTTGACAATTGGTCTATCTGCCGGTACCACGTCAGGAATATGAAAGTTGGTATCAATTTGTTTGATGTGTTTGAGCTTTTTAATTTTGCAATTTGATAACAGACTTTCCGATTGGAATTTTACGGGATTTGAGAGTTTCGAAGTAAAGGCGGACACATTTGCATACAAGTGTAAATACGTGTATAACATGTAATATACTTACTACCTGATTTAGGGTAACCTGCAATAAGACAAAGAATTGGTGTGCATTTATTAAAGACATGTTTTACCTTCAGTTACCAAGAAATCAAAGTATGCATAACTTTTTATTGGACAGAAGCAAACATTGAGAATTTGAAAATGTTAAAAAAAGGAACGAACTAAACATGTACATGCCAGTTATTTTCTTTAAGAACTAGTTTGTAGACGAAATGCGCGTACGGCCTACAAAATTTTAATTCTGGTATATATTTTTTAGTTTATCTACACCTTTAAATTGAATCTCTGGCGAGTTTTATATGGAAGTAGCAAAAACAGTGTATACAATCATTGAAGATAACCGAAGTTTTCTCTTTTTTTTTTAATGCAAATCATATTTTTAAGAAATAATAAAACAGGATGAGCAGAGTATCAATGAAGTCGTTATTACGAGCAATTTATTTATAATTAAATATGCTTATGTTTAATGCCAATCGAAAATGGATCATATAAAAAAAAAAATCAAACGATCTGTCATCGTAATTAAAACAGACGTTACATATACAAAACACAAGAGGAAACATGCAATCTACATAACAGAAATGTGTCTGTAGATCATGTTTAGCTCTATATAGCACTGAGTTTATAAAATTACTAAATACATTAAACAAAAAAAATGAAATACCTTCCTGCAACAATATCCAAATGAAATTGACGCGTTAATATATGACAAATGACAATCACTAACGCGGTTCTATAATATCTTGATGTATAAAATTACTGGCTTGGTTAAGCTGGTGTTTTGAGGTCTCAGCCCTGTCAATCTAAGACTTGATAGATTGACTTAAAATAAGTTAATGAAAGAAAATACAAATGTCAAATGTGACATGTGTGATATAACTTGCTATTCGTCTTTCGTACAAAACGGTTTTGAGAGTTCAATAACATAAAAAATTATATCATCAGAACACTGAAGGAAAATTAGTTAAAACAAATACTAGTATACAAATAAGCAGGAAAAAAAATAAATTCTCATCAATTTAGAGAAAGGGAAATGATCTATTGAAAGATATATGATATATGGGAAATAAACATAATATTCATGGCATAGTGGAAAATTGCCAATAAATACAAACATAGCTTTGATGGCTGATTTCATCTTGTCATTTGTTCGAAATTCTATCCATCTTCTCCATTTTTAACATGATCCGAACCATGGACACGATGGAACGACCAAAATTCTTTGTGGTGATCAAACACGCCTTGCCTATCGTTTCATTAAATTGAAATATCAAACAAAGAAATAAAGAAAAAAAAATCTTTAAGTTAAAACAGTAAACTATAGATGGAAAACTGATAGGTTACTAAGACATATTAACACTATCATCAACATAGATTTAAACTGAGTTTTTTTTTCTAAGTAAATGCAATGTAATGTCATGGAGACTATTGGATTTTAAACTATAACACTCTCGTATTTTTAGTGTTACCATTAAACACCAATGTCATGAAAAAAAAAAAATTTTTTGACATTTCTACAAAAGCTCCTGACATAGCCTCTTTAAAAATACAGTATACACTTACATAATCATGATAATTGCATACAAACATGTTTAGATTTTTACATACAGATAAACACACGATATACAGAGAAAGGTCTAATAGGGAAAAAAAGAAGAAAGCAGTTACATGCATGTATGTGTGGTTGTGTCTGATTACTTAATTTAGATTATAAACATATGAATTACACAATTAATCTTTTGGTATTTATATAATGGTCAAAACTTTGTATTTTATTTTCTTCAGTTTGCTCATGCGTCAGTGTCTTGCTTCTTGCTGATATAATTTCTATGTACAATAATGTCTCTATTTTTAAACGTATAAATTTAATAACACTGTTACGCTCTTATATTAATGTACCGATTTCTATATAACTAAACGTAAAGCCATGTTTTTCTAAATATGTACTTGATACGTCTCGGAGCCATTTAGAGTCTGACATGGTATAGACAAATGTCTTCTGGAGAAGAATATAAAGAATATGCTGCCTTTACTACCTAAACAACACTATATTATATGGTCTATTGAAGATGCATACGTTGCCTTTACTGCCTAAACTACATCATAGTGAAGGGACAATGAGTTGTTATTCAAGTAGAAAATCAAAATGAAAATATGTTATGTCATAGAACATTTCCAATAGTTTCTGTCAAAAAAGAGAAACTTTTTACACTAAGTAAACTAAGAATAATCATTTAAGGTTTGTGTTGGGTTTTTGCTTTTGGCACAGTCTTGTTTTAGTATTTTTCTTATAAATCATGTTAAGCTTAACCTTTTACGCTTCGTGTCTTGAATTTAAAGACTATAAATGTGCCGATAGTTTATAAATACAGTGAAACTTAAGGGTAAGACACGTACGAACAATATCTATAAATCTGCTATGCTTATGACTGGGAATCACGTTCCATGAAATCATTAACTTAGGTAGCTTTTCAAATGGCATCCGTTAAGCACTGCTTATCCTTCTTTTTACATTGAATCAAGTTTTAGAGGAGATACTATTGATCGATCTCATCTTTTGATGTTGTAACTTTCCTTTCCCGACTGACATACATTGGATGCCATATCATCAATTTATTAACACAGTTTTCAATTGATATGCACCTAAATTTATTAGAATGTTAAAGAATAATATATTTTCCTTGAAAGAACATTTTAAATCTTGACAAAAGAGTGAAGAAAAAAATATTAACTTATAAAGAAATGCACACCTGAATCTAGAGGCCTTGTGACTGTATCCTCAGTGGTTAACGAGTCTAAAAAAGAAATTAACAAAAATACCGAACTCCAAGAAAAATTCAAAAAGGAAGTCATTTATTAAATGGCAAAATCAAAATCTCAAATACCTGAAACGAATTGAGAACAACTGCCATATTCCTGACTTGGTACATTTATTTACTCATGCGAAAAATGGTATATTAAACCTGGTGTTATAACTAGCTTAATCTCTCAAAATAGAAGAGAAGAAGACACGGAAATAATATGCATACTAAATTGGATGTCAATATGCTTAGTATTGTTTCCCTTCAATCTTTTTCAGGACTAAACACTTATGCTTAGTTCTTGGTAGCTAAATGTTCTTACTAACTTATTCTTTGCACTCCGGCTTGCAACAAACGTCAAAGCATACACCATTTGATTTGTTTTAATTATTCCAATTGTGACAAGAAGGCTATAACTATGTCTATACAAAATTTGTTTTAAACCAATAGATCATCGCAATAATTATGATTTAAATGTTTCATCAAAGCGACAACTTGTGCTATGAACAAACATGTTCTATATTATATGATTTATAATTAGCAATTGTCGATTATGTAATTCGACTTTGAGGTTTACGTACCTGTATGAAAAGGCTTTGTGACTGGTGCCACAGTGGTTGAATGGTCTGAAATGTAAAAAGGAGAGAAAACACGGAGATGAAGTGCATATTTAACTGGATGTTTTTTTCTCCAAAACACTTTTTAGTGTACCCAAAAAAACACTTTATTATGAACCGGAGACTATAAACAAGCAAAAGTATTTCAGGCCAAATATGTTAAATAACTTTGACAGGTAATAAAAAGTTGTAATTGTTTAAAAATGAGAAAGAAAATGGTGAATGTGTCAAAGAGACAACAAAAACATCAAGTAGTTGAAAAAAAAACCCAAGGCCACCAATGGGTCTTCAACACAACGAGACAATCCCGCCCCCGGGGCGTTTTTAAGCTTGCCCCTAAACAAACATATGTACTTGTACAGTAAAAATGGACGTCCTACTACACTCTGAAACATATAAATGATCTTGAATAAAAAATAAACATACAAGACTAACAATTGCCAAAAAGACAAAGAAACAAAAGCAAGTAAACATACACTGAACGGATAAACACAAAAGAAACATTGAAAACAAAAAGGCATTACAATTGTAAAAGAGATGATTTCAGCTTCCCAATTGTAAACTTTCCATTTCTATGTAGCAACATGCCAGCAGCGCCTGCATACGGAGTATATATCTCCCAATTGATACGATATTCCCGGGCTTGTATTTTCTATCATGATTTCCTTGATAGAGGATTGCTGCTCACAAGGAAGCTATTAAACCAAGAGTTCCAAATGGTGAAGTTGAAATCATTCCTTCGTAAGTTTTACGGACGCCATCACGAGTTGGTTGACCGTTATGGAATAACCGTTTCACAGATGATATCGGATATGTTCCTTATGTCGTAACTACAATACTCTTCCCTTTTCATGAATGTAACCTACCAAATTTAGACTATTTACCGGATTTGTAATTACATAAGCAACACGGCGGGTGCCACATGTGGAGCAGGATCTGCTTACCCTTCCGGAGCACCTGAGATCACCCCCAGTTTTTGGTGGGGTTCGTGTTGCTTAGACTTTAATTTTCTATGTTGTGTCATCTGTACTATTATTTGTCTGTTTGTCTTTTTATTTTGGCCATGGCGTGGTCAGTTTGTTTTCGATCTATGAGTTTGAATGTCCCTCTGGTATCTTTCGTCCCTCTTTTATATATATATAGATAAATCAATCTCTATCAAGAAAACAAACAAGGTTTGTTATTATCACCGTGAACAATATATAATTATACTTTTACAATATTTAAAAGAACCTTAACTCATAAACATTCTTCGTGAGATCTCAACCATCATGTATACCTCCAGCCAATCCAGGATTAACACCAGACAGTTAACGCACAGTAAAACTCAGTTCAAAAGAAGAGTCCGATGTCAGAATAAGTTAAAAAAAAAACTAATCAAAATAACAATAATACATAAATTAACAAAGGTCTACTAGCAGTTGCTGACATGCCATTTCCAGAACTCAATGAACAGATGATATCGGATATGTTCCTTATGTCGTAACTACAATCCCCTTCCCTTTTCACAAATATCACGATCTATGAGTTTGACTGTCCCTGTGGTATCTTTTGCTCTTCTTTTAAGCTGATCAAAAGATGATGTCCTCAACATATAAAAATCAAGCAAAATCCCTCTCGCTAGCTTTTTAGTATCATTCCATCATAAAATATATGAGAAGAACATAACCATGATAATCTGTATCATGCGAACGACTGAATTAACAATAAATGTGTTTATTTGTGATGCAAATACCCTATGCGTGAATCAATATTTATTCTAAAGCATGCCATCTTCAATTACATGACAACCTGACAATCGTATCGTATCTGTATCCCTTTAGAATATATGTGAACCTTCTATTCAAAGCATTGGAATTAACTTTTGAGGCGAATAACGACATTTCTGTGCTTTGTATAGAATATTTTCATAATAGATTGGATGTGAAATACCTGAACGTGTAAGATGTCTGCAAGTTGATTTATATTTACGAATGATGTCCTCCTATCGATGATAGAATTTATCAAATGCTTTAACTAGTTTGTAATATCGAAAACCCTGGTGTAATAATTTTTCCATAATATAGATCTCTCTCATTCGCTAAAATCGAATACGTTGTTACATACACGAGCGAATCGAACAAGATGAGATTTATAAACACCATAAGATGGTGAAAGGAAACGGCACACCTGAAATGATTAATTAACAATAAGAAATGTTTATCCTAAGCTTCCCATTAAAAAAATAGACATTAAGATCTAGGAAAGGCCAGTATTCATCGTCATTATTAGCTTTTAAAAGGTTAGTTCAGCAGGATAAATATCGTTATTGTATATAATGGTGAGTCAACACATCATTTAATGACCTAAAAATGTTATTTAATTTTTGTACCAATTTTTTCAATGAGTCTATGTGATTTTTGTCATTGATTGTAACTCATAACAATACAGAAACAGGTCCACAATAAGTAGTGCACTGAAAATCCCCATTGGAATTCCGATACAAATAATCTTCATAACGAAAAAAAAAAATCATTTTGTAAAAATTCAAGTGCAGTCATCTAACTATCAAAGAAGGTCCAACATCGTTTTTATGATTGTTGTTACTACGAAATGACCTACAAACGTTCGAACATTTAATTTGCATTCTGACATTTTTTTAAATACCCATTTAATTAGGAGTGCAATTTGTTTTCTTAATGCGATTCTGAAGCAAAGTGGTAGACAGGGTAGAAAAATCTAAACTTTGAACAGACTCAAAATCAGCAATATGAGCATGCTGCATGAAGTACTTCCAATGCATTTTTGACACTTAAAAGGAAATTAATTCCACCATTTGATAAGGCCTTGTTTGAACTTTTTATTACAAGATGTTTTATTGTACCATATGAACTAGTTAGTAGAATAGACAGTTGAGTAATGAACATGGCTTGAAGACAAAATGAATCAATTTGTATAAGGAGTTTTGTGCAGCTTTGGAAGTACATAGTTTAAACTTTCATTGTATGTGGTTATACATGTACAAATATAATGTTTCCGAAAATGGAGTCAGTTGGAATGTTGGGGAATTTGTGATTTCCTTTTGCAGAACCTCAGTGTAAAATTTACGTCAAACAATAATATTATTGACAGCCTAATCAGTCGGGAGAAAAACAAATTCGTTGGCGAGTTTTTTTAGCTAATGTTTGATACGAGAAATAGAACTATTAACTTAAAGGTTGTTGTGAGGATTCAAATAATCTTTAGAATGTTTACTACGATCATCAACTCTGTTAATAACTGAATTAAAAAAAAAGAATCTAAGGATTTTTTTTGTCATTTTTTTTCTCGTTTTATCCATTTTGTGTAGTAACTACGGAATGAGTGTAGATGATGAATACTAGTTTGCTGGAATCGTCAAAGAATGAATTTGGTACTTAGTACAGTTATGATAAAAGAGGGTCTAAAAATACCAAAGGGATACTCATAAATAAAAGTCAAAAACAAACTGAATATGCCATGACAAAAAAAAATTTAAACGATCAAAAGACACAAAAAGGAAAATTAAAGATTGAGCAGCAGACTCACCAAATCCAGGGGTGCTA